ATAATAAAAATATATCAGCTTTGGAATATTAAAATCTAAAAATATGCAATTTAAATAAAATACAATTCACTGTTTACAATAATAGATTATAAGTAATATTAACAGTAATAATTACTGTCTATATTAATTAATACTAATAATTTAACATATATAAAATTTCTACTAATTAACCAAAACAGTTTTATAACATTTTGAACTTTAATTTTCATACTAGGCGATGACACCGAAGGTAGTAACAGACCACCAATATTGTAAGCAAAATATCTAAAACTATTTTCCTCTTCACGTTTTAATATAAACATTTTTTTACAGCTACAATTTTTTTCCATAAACAATGATTAGTCGTGGAAATATTACATAATGTATTAGTGTGTATACAAGGTGAGTCTGCCATGTTCTAACAACAATAAATATTGATATTGTCTATATTTTACAGTATAAATATTATTTTAGTAATTGTTATACGTTAGAATATTAAAATTTTACTAAAAATATAGCTTTTCTATTTATAAAAAAAAAATATATGTATATTTTTCATTTTCGAAAAATGAAAAGGCCATATAATATTGATGTAATTTTTTGTTTATTATTACAGTTATTTATAACATTGTAAACTGAGTTAACTGAGTTAAATCAACTGTATGGCTCATTAACATTTTTCTAATAAATTAATAAATATATTAAGTGAATAGCAGTACATTGTTTTCGTATAATCCAGCAAAATCCTTTAAGTACACTACCATATACATTATTATGTTTAACTACATTATTATTATATTAAACTACATAATACACGTAGAAGGGCGATGGCATAGAAATTCAACGCAGGCTTTAAACCCAACCCAACAACGCTGGGTGAGCTGTGAGTTACTATTTTTGTTGTATTAATAATATTATTACTCGGGGTATGAGTACGAGGGTTTGTAAGAAAATGATGGAAAAATAAAGATATCTTTATTTTATTAATATAAGATTTATTTTTATTGATTGTTAATTCTCTAATATCAATATTGCCACGGGTTTTGACGGTTATCAATGATACGTGGGATTGATTCAC